TTTTTTTTTTTGAGGGGGGAAAATCATCCAATGACTTCTCCCGCCCGGGTGAGGCGGGAGGGAGTGTCAGACTCTTACTGACTAAAAACCACCCCGTTCCTACTCCTGCACTTCGAGCCGGAGCCCCGGCAACCCGTTAAGTCTTCCGCGGCTCCGTATCGGCATCAGCCCTGTTAGGCCCCATCTGTGGTGGTCTGATGGCTCCTTGAGGCGCGCGCGGAACGCGACGCGCCGTACGCTCGGGCCTGGTTCTGGTCGGGCGGCGAGTCACCCGTGCTCGCCGTCCGCAGGCCCGTGCTTACGGTGGCCGGAGATCGTCTCGCGATCCCCGACGCCCGGAGTGTCTCTCGCGACGGCCGGGTCGTGAGGAGGTTCGTTCCCTCACGCGCTCCGCCTCCTCCTTAGCTAGCATGACTGCTTCGCAGAAGGAGGAGACGGCATCCCAGTCCCCCTCGCTCCGTACCATGGTCTGAACCAGAGCCGGATGCGAGAGGTCGCCGTCGCCGATCACATTCCTGAGGACACGGCGGTGCTCAGTCCACGCAGGACAAACCGCCACCGTATGCTCCACCGTGTCCTCCAGAACTCAAATGGCCTGCTGATATTTGAAGTTTTGAAAAAAGTCAATTCTAATCTGTCGTGGTGAGCCCGCCTTTGGGCGAATAAACAATAAAACTATCGCAAATTTGCCACATATATCGCAGACAACTGCACATACACCTTTTATGCGTAGTACAGTATGTTTAAACTGAACATATAAAAGGATTCATATCGGAATCTGCAGCTTCATGCCAAAAACGCCAATGGGCAGGCAAGAATACATAATCGAGATGCCGGGACCGCCGATAGGCGGGCTGCATAGTACAGTAGGGCAGCATCTGGGTAATATTGTTACTTTTCAGAAAGGCAGTGAATGGGTTAAGTGTATGTACCTATAAGTACAAGTAAATTTGTTTATTGGCATAACAACATACTATAAAAGCATCTGTACCTGGGTTCTCTTTTTGCATTTCCTTTTGCATTTCTTCAGCCAGTTTGGCTTCCTTTTTCTCTTTAGCAATTCTCTTAAGCCGTTTACTTGCAGGTTCATGGGTAAATATTTTGTACTCTGGTACTTCACCACTTTTTATCATTTCCTTAAAAAAATAATCATAATTTATGTTATTTATGGTAAAACTATGTCTTAGTTATAATGTATACATATTTTCTTTGATTTACTTTACAAATGCATAATATTTCAGTGTGTGCTTTAGTAATTGTTCAGAAACAATGTGCCCTTAATTAGTTTGATTGATTATACTAAAGGTTATAACAACTAATTTTCATATAAGGTTAAATCACAGAATTAATGATAAGGTTGTTTTAAGAAGTCTTACATTAATTATCTCCCTAATTCTTGGTTCCTGGTCAGTTCTTGCAAATTGTACATGATCCACAATGTAATTCATGTCTCCTTTAGCATTCAAATATACTTGCTTGATGTCTTTTTTCTCCTGTTCAGAGCCTGAAAAAGAAAAAATAATTTTACAGTTCTTAATATGTTGATGTAATTATCATACAGAAAGTTTATTCATAAGTCCTCTCTAAATATCTGAAATAAGTTCTATAATGGATTTACTGGAGGGTGGCGATGACCATTCGGGGATTGAGCAGTTAAAGTACACCTTTCAAGCACTTCTCTAAACTTATCAATAAAAAATAGTGTCCTATTCTAAAACCAAACAAGTAAGTATTACATTTTACATTGAACTTACCAACATACTCCATTTCATAAGCTCGGATGTCTTCATCAGTAATTTTCTTAAATAATACTCTCCAGTAACCACACCAGTCACGGTCGACAATGACCGAGAAGTCATCATCATCCACACATTTGGTCTCATCATATATGGCCCTTTTCTCCTTGTCAGTTAGAATGGCATGGATGCTACCCAGCACTTTGAATTTCTCAGTAGCTTCTAACTTTTCTGCTTCTTCTACTCTGTCAGGGTGGACTTTTAAAGATAATTTGTGATATGCCTTTTTAACTGTAAACAAAGTTTAGATGTGGTGAGTTCAGATTGGTAGCCTACTCTGGCATTTTTTATTATAATATATTAAAGTGAATATGATCGAAACTTCATGCTTAGACAGGTTCAATTTCTTAATTCTTTCTGGTGATCTTCAATGTGCTAGCCCCTAAGCTACATACTTATTAAAACAAAGTTAAAGTAGAGTGCAAAATCAAAATATCATTCGAAACAAATAATTTAAGAGACAGCTAATAACTTCCTTTTATACTTTTTGAAGAACGTTAGTTTATTTGAATTACATAAATGGGGTTCATCGTTGGATAATTAATTACGATATTTACGTAAAACAAAGGATTGATTTATAATTACGATATTATTACGTACCTTCTTTGTCCGAAGCAGTTTCAGGAATCTGTAAAACTTCGTATAGATTCGTGGTTTGAAAATACTTTTCACACAACTCTAAGAGCCCCATACTTCCGTGATAGTTAAATCTATAAGAAATAGGCAAATATTCAATTATAATTTGCGTAATAACCTGAACAATTATAACTACAAACGCGCCAAAATAACCGGTAAACTGACCGAAACTTTTTTTGTCTTGAATGGCAACTGAAGACCGAAACTTAGCAGATGTTACTGTCAATGTCAATGTCAAAATGACGTGCAGGTGTTACCAGTATAAATAGGCACGTTTCAGCGCTCGAGTTTATACAATATTTGACACAAAGAAAAACTAATTATAGTAGAAAATAAGCAACTAACTGTACTTAAAATATTTTGCGCAAATGTTAAAAATCGGCGAAAAAGTTTTATGAATTATGTCGTAATGAAGAATCTTGCCTATCTACGTGTTTTCATGCATTGGTTATTAATGTTCATCGATTTTTTTTATGCCGGATAAACCTTCAAATGGCACTTAGTATTTTGAGAAAAAAGTGGGATTTATACCGCACTAAAATCACTCCGGTGGCCACCCTCAGCACCTATAGGGGGGGGGGCACCGGGTCATCTAATAGACCTGCTCCGGAACCTACAGAGGCCTTAGTACGAGTTTGTTTTACGTTTAAAGTAATCGAAACAAGACCGCGTTCGAAGGGGTTCGCGGGAAGTGGAAACCATAGTTTTTTCTTCTTCTCCTCTTATAATATCTTTTGATTCACTTCGTTGCGGGAACCAAGACAGTTACTCATGTCCCTGGGACGCGCCGGACTTCAGTGTTCTGGTGTTTTCATGGTTGTATCTACTGTAGATCCTGGCTTACAGGAGTTGCAGCGGTTTTCGGAGGTTGTGGCGGGCTTGTACCAATAAAAAAAAAAGACCGCGTTCGGTGCTCTGATTGGTTGGTTCATTGGAGCTGGCCAGACTCGTACTAAGCCTTCTGAGTACAACGCCTGTTGTCTTATGACTCATCCATAAGGATACGTAT